CGACTCGGATAACAGTTTGAAGCATAACATTAGCCCGGATCCACGCGTTATCAAGCTGTGACCCTAATTGTTTTCATAGGCTAAACGATTACGAATAACACGCGGTGCGTGCCGTTGCCACGGCAACTATCGCATAACATCGAACTCCGAAAGCAGCTGCGAACGTTAGAAATTAGAATCAAGTTTTTTGTATATCAAACTTAAGCGCCGTGGCCAATCCGCAATTGCCAAGCGCCGAGAATCACCGTTTTAAAAGGCGACAACCAAGAACAATCGCTCTCTCGTTTTCGAACCGTCTATTCGCCGGTACTCAATTTCGATCACGGCACGTTTGCCATCAGTAAGGGTAAACTCCGTCTCAACCGTACCTTCGTTCGGTAGATATTCAATTGTGTTGTATTTTGTAAATTACGATTAAATTTGTTTCGTCTTGTTAAACGACTTGCTTGATTCGAACCTTTTCGAGCGCACACATTGAACATCAACTAAGTTATAACCAACACAAATTCGGTGCGTCGTCTGAGATCACACGATCGAATCGCTCGAGCTGTCCGGGAAGTTCGCTTGCCAAAAAACCTACGGCCACGTTGCGAACAGTATCAGTTTTTTATGTATGTATATGTTATGCATTTTTGTACGTATGTGTATGTATGTGTGTATGTGAATAGTTGTATGGACACTCGCTTACAAAACAGTTTGTCTGAAATTGGCATTGTATAAAATGATCACAACTGCTTTAATGAATATTCTTTTTTAGAGAAACAAGTCATGTTATTATTACATCACAAATTATAACTCAAATATTTGCATGCTACCCATACAGCACAGAAGCTTGCAGTAACATTGCTACAACGTTGCAAGATTGCATATTGCAGTGCAATGTTGCAGAGACATTGCAGTGACATTAATTTACAATATTACTTTAGCAATTTTGCAGCACTATTTCAAAAATATGACGAATATAATATAATATTTTTTACTTATTTATCAGTTATTTTTGTTACTTATATTTCAAATTCAATAATATTTCACATCAATAGTGCTTATAGAATAGTACTTAGAATAGTACTTGTTAGTGGCAGTCATTAATACTAGAATTTGACTTATTACATATTTCTTATACCGTTTTTTCGGAGAAAATACTTTCTTTAAATTTAATATTCATATTTGTTTAATTTTGTGGTTTTTTTGTTTCATTAAAATATTATATTCTTAAACGAAATATCATTTTTTCAAATAATGAAAATAAAAATTTTTATTTTATTCAAGGAAATCATGTCATTTGATGAAACAACACTATTGAAATACTATTAAATAGTATTTTTTTAAAGTTTCTTTCAAAATTTAGTAATTCAATTTGTTTAATTTTGATTTTTTTGGATTTTTTATTTTTTTGGTTTGAATTAATCATTATAACGTTCTGTTAAAAATCTAAAAGTAATTATCACTGTTTCACTACATTACATTAATATTCATCGCATATCGAATGTGTTGCGTTGTTTTGTATGTATCAGTAAATTATCCAACGAATACCAAGTAAAAGTTATATAACTATTATTTGATGTTTGCTAGATATATTATAATATACTGTGAACACTACAAGGGTAAATTATATAAACATAAATCGTAAGAATATCGTTGGAGTCATTGGGAATCGCCGCATGCCGCTCGATCATTAGGTTAAGCAACACTTTAACGGAGACACCATTTATGATTCAAAGTATTGTTCATCGCTGGCCACTACTTTCTTCCATCTTTCGGGCAGCGTACGAATCCTGCATCAAAAAAACTAGTTTTCTTTTGAGGCGATTCACGAATCGATCCAATTTTTTAGTTCTTCATAAGACCGGAAGTGCTGGTCAGCCAGACCGTGTGCCATTGATCGAAACAAGTGATAGTCAGAGGGAGCAATGTCTGGAGAATACGGCGGGTGGGGTAGGACTTCCCATTTCAACGTTTCCAAATATGTCTTGACCATTTTCGCAACATGGTCGAGCATTGTCATGCTGCAAAATCACTTTATCGTGTCTCCCGTTGTATTGCGGCCGTTTGTCTTTCAATGCATCAAACGCATCAATTGCGTTCGATACTGATCGCCTGTGATTGTTTCAGTCGGTTTTAACAGCTCATAATACACTACGCCGAGCTGGTCCCATCAAATACAGAGCATGACCTTGGAGCCGTGAATATTCGGTTTGGCCGTCGACGTGGAAGCATGGCCGGGAACTCCCCATGATTTTCTGCGCTTGGGGTTATCGTAATGAACCCATTTTTTGTCTCCAGTCACAATGTAATGCAGAAATCCCTTCCGTCTTTGCCTTTCAAGCAGCTGTTCACAAGCAAACAAACGCCGTTTAACATCTCTCGGCTTCAATTCGTACGGCACCCAATTTCCTTGCTTCTGAATCATTCCCATGGCTTTGAGGCGTTTTGAAATGGCTTGTTGAGTCACTCCCAATGATCGTGCCAATTCTTCTTGATTTTGACACGAGTCTTGATCAAGTAATGCCTCCAATTCTGCATCTTCGAAAACCTTCTCTCTTCCACCGCTATGCCGGTCTTCGACGTCAAAATCACCGTTCTTGAAGCATTGCAACCACTCACGACACGTTTTTTCACTAATAGCGGCCTCACCATAAGTATTTGAGAGCATTCGATGAG